TTTTTTCATGCATGGCCGGCCAAGTGGAGGAAGGGAGAGAAAAAAATCTCACCTACCCCATTGTACTCTTGTCCACTTTCTTAAGTTTCCCTTAGAAACTGATAAAAATTATACTGACTATAAGAGAGTAACTTAGCTGACAGGAATTCGTTTCCATTTCCGACGGTTCCTTTTTCTACTGTTTATTTACAGTTAAATGTTAAATCCTTGACTGCTTTGGATATCACATTAAATTCTTATTCGCGTAATATCTTGAACTGTTTACAGTCTTGAAATTAATTCTAGACTGAACAAATTCTAAATTTAACTATCCTGCGTTAATTTTCAGAAATGACGTTGTTTCTGACGGTGTCAACTCCCGAGTTCACATTATACCCTTCTACTATGGGTATTTATCTTCTGACTTTAACCTAGCTGTCTGGCAATTAAGGATTTTCTCTTTTTTAAAAAATGTCAGTGCGTTTTTTTTTTTACGCTGCTAACATCATGCTGTGTTTGGAGATTCTTGAAATTAAGATTCTCAAACTATACTTGTACTGAAAATTATTCCGCCTTAAAGTACGGCAAGAATTTATCGATCGAATTTACTTGATCGAAAACATGAACTTAACATGAAATCTGCTACATAATTTAGGAATACATCTATTGATTCCATAAATCCTTCAGTCACATAATATTTTCTAGGAAAATTCTTGGCTTAAATAAATAAATTGTATTATTTAAAGTCTGGAATTTTCTCAGTCATTACATGGGCCCTGTCATGTTGTACCATAGCGCACATAACCAGTGAGGAGTGGGGTAGCTAACCAATCCAGCTCAGTCACGGTTTCATTTCTTTCATAGTCTTATAATAACATTTTCTTCGAAGGCTGATACAAACAGGACGTTTGGTCTCTTACCGTTTATCAATTTTCTCATTGAAACGGTAACTTTGGTTAAGTCTTATGAATTTGTTCATTTTTGAGCAATTTATCATGAGATTAACTTTTCATTAACACTTAACTTTTCCTCTTAATTTGACATCGACTTAACATCGATACATACTTTTCGCAGAATAAAGTTCTGCGGCTACTTAAGTCTTGTAGATACATGCATAACATTGTATCTAACATTCAAAAGTCTAACATATGCACAATGTTTGTGCAACATAGAAAAGTAAGCTTGTTCGTAAAATAGCCAAAGAAAAACTATTGTACTTACAGAAGTTTCGCTAACAATGCGTCATTTGTCTCCCTTGCTGCTGTCCGACTTTAACCGTTAATCGGCCCTGTTGCATAAATTTTTCGATCATTAGATTCAAAATCTAAGATCAATAATTACATTAAAATTTACATCGAAAAGGTCTACAATCCTTATGTTTGGTATTCTCGTTGTGTGTGTATCTATCTACTTCCGTTTATAATCTAAACAGTTTTGTCGATGAGACATGCCAATATAATTAGTTAATGAGATTAAATTATAATTAAATCAATAAAAATTATTAAATGCATTCAGAAATAAAAATAAAGAATAACAAAACATGATTTCAAAAAAATTAAAAATGAAATAAATGAACTATTTTTTTTTTCAAAAATAAAAAACAGAAAAGAAAAGACAAAAAAAAAAAAAAAAAAAAACTTCCTCTCAAAGTGCATATCAAAACCCGCAAAATCATCCTATCATCCATTTGGAGTCTTGAGAATTCTTGGCAAAGTTTGTGTTCTTTTCATTTTTAAAAAGAAAAATATTTCTTTAATTTTTAGAGCCAATAAACGAAAAAGTTAATTAGAATATTTCTTAAACTAAAGTTCAAGTTCGGAAGTGAAGGGACAAAGAGACAAAAGTTAGAGGGTAAAAATAAAATTTATCTTTTTTTTTTGAAGGTACGTAACTAGTTCAATTAGTAAAAGCTGTTGGAATGGTGCATATTAAATCTTATCTTCACCACGGTTGGACTGCAAAATGATTTATTATAAATGACAATAATACAAGGATCGATAGTCTTATCTCTCTTTGAATTTCTTTGAAGACTGGAAACAACCTGCTTTTGAATGTATTTCTAGACCCTGCTCAAATCATGTTCTAAACTAATTTCTTTGAAACCTCTTTTAGTCAAAGTTTCAAAGATTAGTTTGTTGTCGCTTCCTGTCAAGCAATAATGCAATATTTTTATATTTTACTTTTCTTTTTTTATGTTTTATTTTCTTTTTATATATAAACGCGTAATTTAAGCTTATACAAATGCAACAATCTCCTTTGTACTTTCAGTAACCAAAACAAATGAAGTCACACACCCGCTTTCTTCCTACAATCCCACTGCTTCATCTTATCATACTGACTTGTTTGGTTTCTGATCATGTCCGGCCACTTTAATAATTTTGTTGGATTTTAGTTCATTACGTTTGTGTGATTGTTATGTTTTTGATTTTTTTTGTTTTTTGTTTTTTATTCCTCATGGTTCATTATGTTATTATAATTAGAATTATTAATTTCTAAAATAATGAAATTGAGATTTATGTTATCGCTTCAAACCAAGATATTAGCTACACCATAATAATAAAAATGTCAATTATTCAGTATTTTTTTAATATGAATTAGAAGTTGTTTGACAATGACTATATTAGTAAGTTAATGAAAATGAGCATTTTTTGAAGATTAATGTTTTTGTAAGAATTTACTTTCCATGATCATTCTTATAATCATGCTTATTTTCAATTATTGTTCATAAATATTTTATCCAGAATGTCATGTAACATAAGCATGAGAAAGATGTATGATTCAAGTTTTGTACATATTTTCAATGTCGGGATATAAGTTTCTCTTTTTTCTTATTTATTTATCAATCCTTCACTTTGTTGAGTCTCCTGTTGGTGTTTTATGTTTGGTTATTGGTGGTCTTACTCAACACCACTTCAAATTATAATTCGGCAACTTTTAATGTGAGCAATAGTATTTTTGTTATTAGACAAAAAATTTTGGCACAATTAGTTAGACAAAAATTTAGAAAACGTTATTACAGGTGTGAGAATGTTGACTAAATCTCATGGTAAATTTTAAACCGTTCTCAATTCTTAATTAGAAGGGTCTGAAATAAGTTCTCAAAAAAAAAAAAAAAAAAAAAAAAAAAAAAGAAGGTTCTGTCATTTCATGGCCTGCTGATTAACTTGTGAGATTTTTTATATGGATTACCTAAAGAGCTAAACTGAGGAAAAATGCTTTAAAATACCTCCGGTGTTAATTAAACACCACTATTAATAAAACGTAGGTCATACTTGTGGATCTTATGCTGCTAGACCCACTTTTATTACTGAGTATTATTCAATACTACTGGTGTCTAATAACATTTTTCTAAAATACTATGTTTACAAACAATTTGAAATCTGGAAATTATCGCCGTATTTGGAGGGTTCATGGCTAGCTTCTGGTTAGGAGTCAACTATTACCTTTTTGAGTCGTCTCACGGTGGGTCGAGCATGGTGATATGTAGGCTGATAGCTACTTACCATTAATTTGCCTCCTTGAGAGTCCAAGTTAAGATATAAGTCCTCTAGTAGACTTAAGCCCCATTAATTTTACCGATTCGAGTTTAAAATTTGAGTTTTGTTATAGTAAAAATTTTTTAAAAATAGTCACATCTAACTTTTTTATTACAGTAAAACTCTCTCATATAAAATTACATCTCAACTCAAATTAAAAATTTAAATCAACGAACTAAACATCCCTTAAAAGTCTAGGTGGAAATTAGCTATAACTCATTTACTTGTTACAACGGAGGAAAGTGACACTCCCAACGCATGTACAGTTTGCATGCAACTTTTAGTAAATTTGCACTCAATAAAAGGAAATTTTTTTTCAGTAGCGGGAATGCTTGTGGAATAGCTCCAATAAATCTTTTCATTTATCGGAAAAAAAATAATAATTTACTCCAATTTTTTAATTATATATTAGGAAAATCTTTCCCATCTTAACGGGGGCTGGTCCTGTCACTCACAGGGGTAGGGCCCACAGGGGGCCGGGTACAGGGACGGAATTAGGAATCTTGTTTAGGGTGGCTTGAGTTAAATGAGATTATTAAAATAATTGTTTCACTCACATCAGCATTTGAATCATGGTAGATACATGCACCGAGAGAGAGAGAGGAGGAGAACGTGAGAGAGTGAGGGAGAGAGAGAGATAGCTGAAAGAGAGTGTGGAAGAAAAAGAAAGGCAAACAAAGAAAGAGGGGGACATATCTGAGGGAGCTCGACGGAAAGAAGAAGATCGATGGGAGAGGCTGCTCGTTCAAGTAAGCTCGGTTCGGGGTTAGAAAGATGGATATGAAAAAATGAAAATAAAAAAATGAAGATGATAAAAATTCATTTTCAGAAACTCTCTTGTTTTGGAAGAAATTAATCCCGTGTTTTCTTTTCTGTTTTTTCTATTTGGCTTTGCACGATCTAATAGGTTCCATGGTGCAATCACAAGAAATTTTGATTCTGATTACGACTTCTCCAGTTTACACATTATTGATCTGTCCTACAATAATTTTTCAAGTTTTCTGCCATCTGAATACTTCAAGAAATGGATTGCCATGAAGGCTCTTGGCGCTAGCAATTCATCTTATTTGGCTACTACCATAAGGATAACGATCGAATATTCAGGAGTACTATGGGACTTTGAGTTTATTTATCCTTGCTCTGTTACCATTAAAAACAAAGGCAAGGATATGCAATATGAAAGGGTCCAAGAAGTTTTCACAGTGATTGATCTTTCGAGCAACAGATTCCATGGTGACATCCCAGAGTGTATGGGGGAACTACAACGACTCCAAGTCCTTAGCCTTTCCAACAACATGCTTACTGGCAGTATCCCTTCGTCAATCTCCAGCTTAACCCAACTCGAATCGTTGGATCTTTCCGTAAACAAGCTCTCTGGGAAAATCCCTCAGCAACTGGTGCAGCTCACATTCCTTGCATCATTCAATGTATCTTTCAACCATCTCAGGGGACCAATACCGCAAGGGAGTCAATTCTCTACGTTTGACAGTAGCTCGTACAAGGGAAATGCAGGATTATGGGGTTATCCATTGGAAAGTCTCAATACTCCTAAAGCGCTGCCGCCTTCAGATTCAGGTTCTGATGAAGATGATGATGAAGATTCAAAGTCTTGGTTCAAGTCTAATTGGATTACAATTCTACCGGGATTTGTTGGCGGATTGATATTTGGAGTGGCCATAGAGCACGCTCTTTTAATGGACAAGCGTGAATGGTTTTTCAAGGTTGTGGATTTTGTGGTTTTGACCAAAGCTAAAGGGAGAAAAGGCTAGAAGCTGAGACGTGCAACTTGAGATTTACTGCCATAATTTTGTGTTTTTGCTATTTTGCTGCTAATAAAGAGATTGTATTTAGTTTTTTTCCTTTCGTCAATGTTGCCTAATAATATTACAACGTCCTGATCTATTATACATGTAAATTTAGCATCTTTCTAGTTATTATGTATAACATTTCGTTTCCTATTTTTGCCCATCTAATTTTTATTATATTAAACAAAATATCACTTCGAGGTTTGAATGTTTGTCTTAGAGAAATAAATAAATAAAGATTTTGTTTTTGCCATTTTGCTGATTCCATTAGGAATCTAGGATATACATAACCAACTGTGTATGTATACATGGACATAACTCTTATTGTCAAGCTTTGTAATTCTTAGATGAAAAAATGTTCGTACATGTAACCACTACTGAACAAATTTTATTGGGAAAAGTTGCAACAACCCCTTTCGTAGTTGTATTTCTTTGAACTTAGAATTGAATGTGCTAATTTGGAGAAAATGAAACCCAAGGGATGCAGGAAGATTTGATTATTAGTAGTCATTTTTTATATTTTATTGTCGTGCGTTCTTGCTCTTTAATTTAGTTTTATTTTGGTATTGGTTTGTCGTTTATCTTAGTGCTTATTTTGTAATCATTTTGTGTGTGAACTACAAATAGCCACATTATTAATTGTATTAGAAGACTAAAATATTTTGATAATTGAAATGGAGTTGAATTTCTCCGACTGCTACATTAAAAGCAGACCACTCCAGCTTAGTCAAGAATCAAGATATCATTAATTGTGATCGCTTCTGGTGTAGTAATGCAGCTTTTTTCTTTTATATATAACAGTAGTTGACACAAACCTCCCTTAAATTATCACATATATACACCAGTACGTCTTTGCGTAGCCAAATCCAATGAAGACACACTTTTGCAAGTCCAATATGTTCACAGCCCCACTGCTAATTCATGTTGTAATACTAATAACTTGCTTGTATTCTCTCATGTGCAGCCACTTTGCCGCACTGATGAGAGCACTGCCTTGTTGGAATTTAAGGACAGCTTTGTCATACGTCGGAATGCTTCTCCTCATCCTTTGGCTTACCCCAAGATCGCTTCATGGTCATCAAAAGACGAAGATGATTCTTGCTCGTGCGACGGCATCAAGTGTGACGAGAAGAAGGTGACTATGGGGCTATCCTTTGCAAACCTTCAATACTCCTGCAACGTCTTCACCTCTGAATTCTGACAAAGACGGTGAAGAATCAACATCTTTGTTTGAGCTTTATTGGATTACCATACTACTGCCGGGATTTGTTGGCGGATTGATATTTGGGATTGCCATAGAGCAGGTTCTTGAAATCGACAAAGGCTGTGGATTTTGTGCTTGTGATGTGACCAAAACTAAATGGGAGAAAGGGCTTGACGCTAAAAGTGAGACATACAAGTTGAGGTTATAGATTATTTTTTTCTTTTGTTGCTTATAAAGACGGATAATATTGTTAGTCTTTTTCTTTTTTTTTTTTTTCTGTACTTTGGTAGATGTTGCCTTGTAACATTACCATTCCTAGTATGTGATAAAAGCTTCTTTGGATGTTATGTATTAAATTCCATTACCTGCACAGATGATGTTTTCAAAGTGATTGCTAAAACAACGTTCCTGAAAAACATAGGCTGCAACTTACAACACAACATTTTAATAAATAGAAAAAATGCATGTATTAATATATTAATTGGAATTAGGTGGGTCGTTTTATAGGCTCCCAACTTTTTCTTCTGCAAATAGTTTGCTGCATTTCTTATTTACAACCAACAAAAAAAATAATAATAAATTGCTTTTACTGATGTGCTCAGCAGGCGAATTTTCTTTTTCATGTAGTAGAATTTAATATGACCAAATTAGTATATCAAACATAATTCAAAAAGATTGAAATCAACCGTTTTAACCGCCAATACATAATGTTCCCCTACTCCGTGCACCAGGAAAGATCCATTGTTCTCTCCGTAGCTATTTGAAATAAAAGTTGAAGAGATATTTTATCCAAAGTGTTAAAACAAAACTCTTCAGATACCAAAAGAGGATACAACGACTTACAGGCATATGTCCGAGCAAAGAAACTGAGCCGCACTGCAACATAACTCGAGACCGAAAGAAAATGATTTTTTCAGAGTTTTCATTGCAACTGCCTGCTTGACATATGTATCCTTTCGTGAGATCAAAGAAATGAGTTTATCTATCTATTTCCCAACTTGTTCCTCAACTAACTCCCTTATGCGGTTCCTGCGATGCCTTCAAGATAATTGGACTTCTGAAGTTCTACGCTGCTGCGCGGTCCCTCCTCATTACAGGAAGCAACAGAATTGGTCAGCACTCTTCGCCATAACTACGCATTAGAAGCTCACTTCACGTCTTTCCGCAAAAAGCTTCCCCGTTATTGCTTGGTCTGGAAGCAAGGCAAGCCATACTCCGGTATCAGCTCCTTCTTCTGCTGGAATGTTCCCGGCATAACCAGTCATTGCCGTCTTTACCCAGCCGGGGCAGTAACAATTTATGTAAATCTTCTGGCCTTCTGGTCTATTTGATAGTATCCTCGCCATTAGCCTGGTGTAAGCATTGACTGCAAGTTTCGATATGGAGTAGTCGGTAAATGTTTGAGGCCACCCACCTGATTCCCAACTGCCTTCTTCCACTTGTTGTAGAAAATTGGATATGGTACGGTCAATCAATTCTTCCGAGAGCGAATCCACGTCGCCTAGTTGTTCTCTCAAGGTCACATCTGCAAGCCTCTGTAAGTTAAGTGATATGATTACTTTTCTCAGCAAAGCTGTTTAATAACCATCAAAGAAAGATGACTATCCAAAATATTTTCTGAATAAATACTGTGTACTAGCGGTGAATGAAATCACATTAAAATGTGTATCCCTTCATAAAGTTGTCCCAGTTCTCAAAACTCCCAACTCAATAAATTATCAAAGATAGAAAATAAAGGAAGAAGTAGAAGCACAAATAAACCCCTTGTTGGAGAATTCGAAATTTATCCTTGAAATCTGTCAAATCTAATATGTATTAACAGTCATGTACAACTACAACTGTCTAGTCTTAGTAGGATTCTAATCAATCAGTAATTACTAGAATATTTTCCTGATTATAATCCCTGATTTGTAGAGGTCAATAGGCTGGAATCTTAGCCAGAATAGCTCTTTTTTCTTTTTTGAAGGAAAATTTTCATTCATTGAAACAAAATTAAGCACCAACCACAATGGAATTCGATCCTGAACTTTGACTGAATCCACCAATAAATTAAGCACATGGGGGAAACACAAGTGCCAAGACCGAACAGGGAAAGACCCGCTCAACACATAAAGATTGAGCACAATAAAGGCTCGTTATACAAAACTACTACAGTCGATGGATTAATCCAGTCGACCGGAACCAAACCCCAAATAATGGGGCAGCAAGCGACACGACATAGAATTAAATCTAGTCAGATACCATCACCCATGCTATCAATAAATGGGTGGAACACATTGACAAAATCAAAAGGCGAGGAAACCACCTCCGTTATTACAAGACTAACATAATAACAAAACAACATAAACCAACACCAAGGCGGAAGTATCAACGCCTTTATTACAAAACAATAAAAACAACCAAAAAACAAAGAGCCCTAGACAACGAGCAGGACCCAACGGCAACAGGCGGGCCATCGCGCCATGGAGTAGGCAATCGAATCTGAGAAGAGCCGCCACGAAACTGCCGACCACAAAACCAAATACGGAAATCCCCAAAGGAAGCGTTGTGCCATCAGGATCGAGACCCCCATGCCACAGGCGCATCGGAAATGCCCCGCATCTCGCATCATCCGAAGCCCCAAAGCTTCCATCTCTAACAGGGAGCAAACCACACATCACATCTCCCAGATCCGTCTACCACAACTGCCACCATACCACTCATCAGCCGTAAGAACCACCCACGAGACCCAAGCCACCATCGCGAGGGCTGGGAGTCCTACAACCAGCAAAAGGCAGTGTCAAGACTCCAGCCCTAATAAGAAAACCAAAGAGAGAAACCCTAGCCGGCTCTATGAACAAGAGAGAGAGGAAGAGAAACCGTAGCCACGAGAATAGCTCTTTTTTGGTGTATGAATTATGTTACCAATTTCTCCATTGTAATACATGATACATTTTTCCTAATACAATAATTTCTAGATCGTATCAGAGCTGTTTGCTTTCTAGGGTTAGAACTCTGAGTTTTTTTGCCTCTCATCCTATGTCTCTCTTCTTCACCCTTCCAATATGTTTGCGACCTTTGAAATTACCTCAAACATCACTAAGAAACAACTTATCCAAACTCCGGTCTTAAAAAATGTGATGCGTGTTCCCAAATTATCTATAAATCTTATCTCTGCTCACAAAATTATAAGAGATTTGAATTGTTGCGTAACTTTCTTTCCCACTTACTATGTTATTCAGGATCAGGTTACGGGAAGGATGATTGGACTTGTCAAGGAGAAGGACGAGTTGTACTTCCAAGAAGCAGCAACTAGCTATGGTGACCAATTTCCAACCTCCTACATATCAAAAAAATATTTCCAATAAGGATGTCATTTGGCTATACCACTTTTCTCTAGGACATCCACCTTTTAAATTGCTTTAAACTATGTTACCTTTATTATTCAAAAATATGGATATTGATACTTTTCATTGTGATGTTTGTGAGTTTTCTAAACACCATCGAGTGATCCAAGCAATACAAAAGCATTTACTCCATTCACTCACTCTAATTCATTCCGATATTTGGGGCCCATCCAGGGGTTATAACATCTCAAGTGCAAAGTGGTTGGTTTTTTTTATTGATGATTGCACACGACTAACTTTTGTGTACCATCTAAACAAAAATCTGAAGTTAGTACCATTTTTCCAACATTCTATAGGATGATCAAAAATCAATTTGGAGTTTCTATCAAGGGTCTTAGATCCGACAATGCCAGGGATAATTTTAATCAAGATCTATCACCTTTTCTTCAAAAAGAAGGCATTATCCACCAATCTTCTTGCATAGACATCCCACAACAAAATGGGATAGTAGAACATAAAAATAGGCATCTACGTGAAATTACCAGTGCACTTTTGTTTCAAAATAATGTGCCAAAATCATATTGGGGAGACGCTGTTTTAACAGCAGCCCATTTAATAAACAGATCTCCTACATGTATCTTAGAACACAAGAGTCCAATTCAAACAATCTCAGTTTTTTATGATTGCAATATGTTTTCTAATAAACTACCACCTAAAGTCTTCGGATGGGTGTCATTTGTGCATATTCACGCCCATAACCATAGCAAACTTGATCCAAGGGCGTTACAATGTGCTTTCATCGGGTATTCAGCTAAAAAAAATCGTACTTTACTCGGCCTTGTCTTCAGGTGGAGATTAATAAGGAAGATAAGGACCTGATTTATTCTTACTTGATTTTGAACCATCCCCCGAACCTGTTGAAATAAGATCAGGCAAAGTTAGAGCTTAATCGAGTCTAGTTGCCATTGAAACTGCTGCTCCCATTGCTGCTACTCGTCCACTTCAAGTTCATTCTAGGAGGGACAAACCTGCTCCTGAACCTATACAAGTCCAAGAATCCGAACCAACTAGGTAATCAATCTTTTAAATGCATTCCTCCTAAGAAAAGAGTTAGAAAATGCACATAATACCCTATATCTCATTTTTTGTCTAATAAGCCTTTACTTAGGCAAGTGTATATTAGGAAGAATAAAAGGGATTAGGAAGCGTGTTAGGAAAGATTGTTCTCAAGCTTGTTAAGGAAGATTGTTAGTAAAGCTTGCTAAGGAAGATTGTTAGTTGCTAGTAGTTAGGGAATAAGGAAATGTATAAAAGGGAGGAAGAGCAGAGGAGGAAAAAGTTTGTTATCTGTTTCTGAGAAAATCTTGGAGTAATCCAAGTAGGGGAGGCAGCGGACCCTCGAAGATCCGCATATCAGTGTTTCATTCTGCTATATTCAATAAAGTTGTTCTTGATTTCCATCTTTCTCAATCTTTTCTTACCGGTCGTCCTTGAATCTGCCAAGAACCTATCAATTTGGTATCAGAGCATCGATTTGGGAATGGCGGCTGGGAAGAAAATTGATGAGAGGTTTGAATCTGTGGAGAAGGAGCTTTAACAAGTAAAAGCTTCGGTGGAAAAAGGAATGGAAGAAGTTAGGGCTGAAATGAACCAAATCATGGTTGACTTGTGCCTAGGGGTGGCAATTCGTGTCACATGTCGTGTTCGTGTCGTGTTTTAATCGTTTCTTTCTAAATTTGCAGTCAACCCGAACACGATCCGTGCCACGAAATTTTTTAGAAACCACAACACGAACACAAACACGACACGACCACTTTACGGGTTGACACAACACGACATAAAAATAACCCGTGACACGAAATTGACCAGTGAATCCGAAATTGACACAAAAATTGTATACTTTTATTTAGTTTTTTACATATTAGAAATAACTTAAAATTCATAACACACTAAATTACAATAACATCCATTGAAATTAAGCAAATAATAGTATAAGATTTTGAATATAACTATCATGATATCACAAGTTCATAATAAAATCTAAAATATGTAATGAAAAATATCTATTTTTTATTTTTTACAAGTTTCGGGTTAAGCGGGTCCAACTCAAAATTGACCCGTGTTTTTCGTGTCAATTTCAGGTCGACCCAATTCTAACTCAAACCACTTTTTCTCAACCCTAACCCGCGAAATTCGTATTGTTTTCGAGTCGTGTCGTGACCCATATTGCCAACCCTACCTGCGCCGATTGATGGAAGAACAAATGTGGCTTTTGACCATGACAGCGGCAGCGAATCTACCGGCAGAAGGGTCTGGTTCAGGTGCCGCCCGGTGTTATGAAGAGGAAGCAGGGTTGGGCCAGGGCTTAGCTCGTGGCGCGGCTTGGCAAGCAGAGGAGGACGATCGCAATTTGGGAAATTTGGCCTGACCTAGGGTTTTCGGGAAAGAGGAACAAGGAAAGCCCTGAGGTATGGGCGGCAGGGAGGCTTCAAACGAGGAAGAGATCGCGCGTGCCAGGGAGCGATTCACGAATGGAAACCGCACGGTTTCCGATCACGACGACCGTAATGGCGGCTTACAGCTCGGCGGGACTTACGAAGGTGACAGGAATCGTCGCGACGGCCGTCGTGGTGAATCTATACTCGGCGGGATCTTCGAAGGGGACATGGAACCACGTGCGATAAATGGCGGACCCAAGCCAAAGGTGAATGGCAGAAATGAAGGAATCGGGCCTGGAGTGAACTTCAACGAGGACTGTAGACGACAATGGGTAGGAAACGAGACTGAGGACCCTCTTGACTACGCTGGGAACTATGGGAATCCGTGGGAAGGAGAAGAGCTGTCGCCGGTAGTACGGCGAAAACACTTGGACTACCCACTGTTCAGTGGCACCGATCCAGACGGATGGATATTTAGAATGGAGCAATTTTTCTCCCTCAATTGATTTTCGGAGAAGGAGAAAATCATCACTGCCGGTATTGCTCTAGAAGGGGATGCGCTATCGTGATTCCAATGGCAAAATTGGCGGAGGCCGTTCGTCAATTGGGCCGAGTTCAAGGTGGTTCTCCTACAACGATTTCATTCTTCTCAAGAGGGGAATTTGTGTGAGCGGTTTTTGGCGCTATGACAAACGAGCTCGGTGGCGGAATACCACAGGAATTTTGAGGTATCGACTGCACCTTTACAAGACGTGCCGGAAGAGATCTTAG